CTGTGTGTCTATAAAGCAGGCTGCCTCAGCCCTGTGAAATGGTTCTATCAGTTTAAGTATCAAGAGAAGAGCTTTACAGCAGTGCTTCAGCTTAACTTTGTCTAGTGGTATGGATCTTGGAATCGAAATTATGGTAAACATTGATACTGCTTCCATAAAGGGGCTAGCAGGTCAGAGACTGGCAGTATCAGTAACCTAGTGGTATTTAAAATTTGATGTAACTAGGTATTGTGGCTCATGCTTGTAATCATAACACTTTGGGAGGCCAAGGCAGGAGAATCACTTGAAGCAGGAGTTTGAGATCAGCCTGGGCAACATAGTGAGACCTTGTCTCTACAAAAAATAAAAATAAAAACAATTAGCCCAGTGTCTGAGGTTTCAGCTACTTGGAGGCTGAGGTGGGAGGGTAACTTGAGTCCAGGAAGTCAAGGCTGCAGTGAGCCATGATTGTGCTACTGCATTCCAGCTTGGGTGACAGTGAGACTCTGATTCAAAAAACAAAATAAAAGTAAAGAAAAAAAATTGATGTTTGTGGGAGTTGCCTGTGGTGCTTTTTATAAATACAGACCCCTTTGGTAGTATCCCTCTCTATGTCACATCGCACCTTCCCACATAGACACACACAATAACATACACACAGAACAGTTAGGATCCCAATGTTAGGGATGGACATTTGCAGTTTTATCAAGTGCACCACTTGATTTTTGTAGTGTTCCAAAAGTTGAGAACCTGTTACCTGTGTATCCCCAGGTTCCTTGATGTCTCTAGTTTTTCTCTTAAAGTAAAATCATAAGGATGATAGTGTCTGTTGGTGGCACTTACAACCTAGCCTTGATAGGAATTATTTTCTAATGGTCTCTGGGATTGATTTTTTAGTCACTGCTATTTTTTTTTTTTTTGAGTTGGAGTCTCACTCTGTCGCCCAGACTGGAGTGCAGTGGCTGCTTCCGGCCACCGCAGCTTTGACCTGCTGGGGGCTCCAGCGATCCTTCCACCTCAGCCTTCCAAGTAGCCGGAATTACAGGCATGCGCTTCCATGCCTGGCTGATTTTTTGATGTATTGTAGAGATGAGGTCTCGCTGCCCAGGCGGGTCTCGAGCCCGCGGGCTCAGGCAATCCACTCACCTTAGTCTCCCAAAGGCACGGGATTACAGGCTGAGTCACCGAGCCCGGTTTATCATTGCTATTTTTATTATAATTTAATTATAGTTTTTAAATTCAGATGAAATTCCTGGGACAGACACATTGCAGAGTATGTCAGAGTGAGTGAATGTGTTACTGAGTTAGTGAAATGTGATTTTTGTTATTGCTATTTTATTGCTATTTACTTATTGTATAAGTCTCAGTTCCATAGCACTTTTTGAGTTCTGTTGCCTTCCTGGTCAGTAAATTGAGATCAGCAGTTTTATAGTAATATAATTTTTGGACTGTTTCTTATATAACTGAACACCTGCTGTGAGTTAAATAGAGTTAATTGTTATGTGACAGAGAGATACTGGTAAACCACCCTTCAGGTCAGTATTTCTGTTAGAGAAAAGAAGAACACCTCACAGATCTGTTGACTGGGATTAGTTTGTTTTTTTTTTGACTTGGAGTCTCACTCTGTTGCCCAAACAGGAGTGCAGTGGCACGCTCCCGGCCACCGTAGCCTCAACCTGCTGGGCTCCGGCCATTCCTCCCCCTTAGCCTTCCAAGTAGCTGGAACTACAGGTGCGTGCTACCACGCCCGGCTAATTTTTGATTTATTGTAAAGATGAGGTCTTGCCATGTTGCCTAGGTGGGTCTCGAACCCACGGACTCAGGTAGTCCACTCACCTCAGCCTCTCAAAACGCTGGGATTACAGACCTGAGCCACTGAGCCTGACTGGGATTAGTTTTTTTAAAAAAATGCTGCTCTTAAAGTTTAGTCAGGTTCTTCTACCTTAAAAAAGGAGGTAGGCTGGGCGTGGTGGCTTCTGCCTGTACTCCCATCACTTTGGGAGGTCAAGGCTATAGGATTGATTGCTTGAGCCCAGGAATTTTAGACCAGCCTGGGCAACACAGTGAGACCTTATTTCTAACAACAACAACAACAAAATTAGCTGAGCATGGTGGCGTGCACCTGTAGTCCCAGCCACTTGGGAAGCTGAGGTGGAAAGATCACCCTAGCCCAGGAGGTTGAGGCAACTGAGTGAGACCCTGCCTCAAGAGAGAGAGAGGGGGAGAGGTAGAGAGAAAGGAGATGAGATGGGGTTGGAAATTTGAATCATAAATAAGATACTACAGGCTTGATCTCTGATTATTGTTTTAAATGTGTATTAGTGGTCATGGTTTACATCCTGCTAGAAAATGTGTTTTAAAGAAAATGTGTTAGCCGGGCTCAGTGGCTCAGCCTGTAATCCCGTGCTTTGGGAGGCTGAGGAGAGTGGATTGCCAGAGCCCCGGGTTCGAGACCTGCCTGGGCAACTTGGTGAGCCCTCATCTCTACAACAAATAAAAAAATTAGCCAGACGTGGATGCACGCGCCTGTAGTTCCAGCTACTTGGAAGGCTGAGGCGGAAGGATAGCCGGAGCCCAGCAAGTTGAGGCTGCGGTGACCGGGAGCGGTCATGGCACTCCAGTCTGGGCGACAGAGTGAGACTCCAACTCAAAAAAAGAGAAGAAAATGTGTTTTAAACATTCTGTTCCTCCCCAGCTGAAGTAGGAGGGAAAAGGGTATTTGATGGGGAGTTCTTATTTTATGATAAGGTGATTTATTGTGTTGGTTCCACCTCTATCATTTTGTTGCAGTCTTTATTATGCAAAGGTGGTGACATCTTATGCAGGGCTTTGTGAGTGGTTTCATGTACGGTTGAATTGAAGGCCTCATTTCTTCCTCCACCTGTCACCTTTTTTTCTTCCTTGTCATTCTATTCAATCCTGTGCAATTAAAGATGATTAGGTGTTAAGATTAAGTGGAATTAGAATAAGCTAATTACTAATTACTCGCACCCAAACTGTGAACTGAATAGATGCACTAGGTGTGAAGAATGTGAAAGTACCCTGTAGTGAAAAATATAATTACCCATGTTGGGAATGTTGGGGGTGGGATATAGAGCACAGACACCAGACACAGTGGCACATTCAGTGTCTGGCTTTTAAAAACATGCAAATGCACAGATATGTGCACATGAAACATAGGAGCCTAACCACACAAAGTATCTTTAGTCTTACTTAGGACACTTCATAGATTCCTGGGATTGGTTATGAAACACATCTGGGTATGATAATACTCTTTTTTATATTTGGATCAACTTTTGGAAGACAAATGCAGCCTTTACCTTAAAAATTTTAAAGGCTTCACCTTTCATTTTTTGAAGAACATGCTGAAAATTAGGATTAAAATTTTGTTTTTACATACAACTAACTGGCACAGAGGTGGTATTTATTAAATACTTGTTGACAGATTCTTCTAGAGGTATGTATGAAAAAATAACATCTTAAAAACGGTACATTACTGGCCAGGCTTGGTGGCTCAGCCTGTAATCCCAACACTTTGGGAGGCCGAGGCAAATGGACTGCCTGAGCCCACGGGTTTGAGACCTGCTTGGGCAACTTGGTGAGACCTTGTCTCTACAATAAATAAAAAATTAGCCCGGCATGGTAGTGCGCACTTGTAGTTCTAGCTACTTGAAAGGTTGGCAGAAGGATCGCCAGAGTCCAGCAGGTCGATGCTGGGTAGCCATGAGTGTGCCACTGCACTTTAGCCTGGGCAACAGAGTGAGACTCCAACTCAAAAAAAAAAAAAAAGTACTCACTTTTTAAAAAATCTCATCATTTTGACAGATACCTCGCATTACTTTTCCTTTAGCAAAAATGTACTGAAAGACTTAACTTCTTATATTTTTCAGTTTGGCTAATTTTAGAAAAACCTAAGATAAAATCTAAAAATGCTTTGTTAATGCAGTTGGGTAGTTAGCACATTATGAACAGTGTTTCCCTGTCATATTTTTATATAAATTAAGAACAGGAAGTGTGTGAGAATATTTTGATGACGTGATCATCTAAAAGGGCTGAATTTTGGAAGAAAAAAAAATTAAGATGGGGTCTCAATATGTTGCCCAGGCTGTTCTCAAACTTCTAGGCTCAAGCTGTCCTTCCACCTCAGCCTTCCGGGTAACTAAGATTATAGGCATGAGCTACCATGCTCAGTTTATATAAAAGTTTTTGAGATTCAAGATAACGTCATCTTTTTAAAATGTGTTTGAAATTGAGTCTTCTTATTTGTAATGTGTCTATATTCAACTTTTTATCCTTTTTGTGACTTGCCCATTTTTTTCAAATTGACTTATACTTATTTATAGGACTAGCTGTGTGACCTCAGTCTCAACATTTTTTTGATATAAATTTTGACAACTCTAGCAGTTAATTATAGGAATTAGTTTTTGCCTAACACTAAACCTAATACTAAACATTTTATTAACTTGTTACCTTCATAGATTCCTTTCCAAGTATTCCCCCTTCTTAGAAAGTTTGAAAGATCTATAAGCATTTGATTTTTCTTTTACTCCCAGGCAAAGAGTTTTAACATTCTATTTAAATACCTCATAAGGTTTCTTGTCTTTAAAACATGAAACAAAAATAAAATAAAGATAGCTATCAGATTGCACTTGGGTACTCACAGAAAGATACAGTTATACTTACAGTGGATAGCAGAAATATGACAAACTTTGTAAGACTATATGTTGGTGAAAGGAGAAGTCATATGCAAATGTGGGAATTTATTGCTTATTTCCTATTTGAATCTGCCAGCTTGGCCCTTAGAAGCATTTCAGTTCTTCCATGTTTCTGACAACACCTCCACCCTCTATCCAAACTGTTCTTGGGTCTTAAACTAAGAGGGTTATTTTAAGGAAGTGCTTCTTAAAAAGAGGATATTGTGTTAGCGTATATCTGTGTGACTATGTAGCTTACAACATTTAAAATAAAAAATGGAAGGAACTGGACTCCTTATTAAGAAATGTCCAACCCGGTTCTTGCAGATGGTTGTGGAGACTGAGAAATGCAGCATCTCTATGAAGATGGCGTCACCTGAGGATGTGAACGACGTGCTGGCTCACATTGGCACCTGCCTGAGGAAGATATTTCCAGGCCTCTCTCCAGTGTGAGTTCCTCTGGGAAAAACTTGTTCTTCCTCAAAATGGCAAATGCAAAAATGCTTTTCTTGCCCTTTCACTTAGTTTATCTCTCAGACTTTCTCCTTCTTGTAAACATTAAATATCAAAACCCTAATTCAAACCCCTGTGATTTATATCTGAGGTTTTCTGTAGGGCTATGCTTTATTCCTTAAAGTGCTTGAGCGATGAAGGGATTTGGCGATCCTTTCACTTCTATTCACAAGACTAAAACAGAAACCTTTTAAATAGAACTTCAGGTTTGCACTAGTCTGAATTTTACTCACAGCTATTAGCAGAATGCCAGGGGCCGTGTGTCTTATATAAAGGTATCAGGTATAGTGTTAATGAAGAAAGAGAACTCTTTACTTTATTTGCTTTTTTATTTATAGTAAGAAGAAACTTAAAAAAAAAAGCTGAACATAAATATTAACCATTTTCACGGTCCTCTTAGTTTTTTGAGATACACATTGGGAACATAAATAAGTTTTGTTCATTCATACCTCTTTTTTTTTTTCTGGGTTAAGAATTTTATGTCAGGATAATGTGCTTATATACCAGAATTCACAGTTGGTGGAGTGTGTGGGTTGTTGCAAAGGGAGTATTAGGTTGGCTGAGGAGAAAAACAGAGAGATGTTTATGTCAGAAAGCTCCCTAAAATAATAGTTCATGGCCAGGCTCGGTGGCTCAGCCTGTAATCCCGCACTTTGGGAGGCTGAGGTGAGTGAATTGCCTGAGCCCGCGGGTTCGTGACCCGCCCGGGCAACTTGGTGAGACCTCATCTCTAC